GGAAGGAAGGAAGGAAGGAAGGAAGGAAGGAAGGAAGGAAGGAAGAAAGAAAGAAAGGCAAAGAGAAGAAGGAAGGAAAGAATGAAAGAAGGAAGGAAGGAAGGAAGGAAAAGGAGATGGGTGGAAGGAAAGGCAAAGAGGGGAAGGAAGATAGGAAGGAAGAAAGGAAGGCAAAGAGGAAGGAAGGAGGGAAGGAAAAGGGGATGGATGGAAGGAAGGCAAAGAAGGGAAGGAAGGAAAAGGGGATGGAAGGAAGGAACAAAAAGATGGGGTGGAAGGAAGGCAGTAGGAAGGAAGGAAAAGGGGGAAAGAAAAGAGGGGATGGATGGAAGAAAGGAAGGAAGATAAAGAGGGGATAGATGAATGGAAGGAAGGCAAAGAAGGGATGGAAGAAAGGAAGGAAGGAAGGAAAAAGGGATGGAAGGAAGGAAAAGACGGGATGGGGTGGAAGGAAGGCAATAGGAAAGATGGAAAAGGGGGAAGGAAAAGGGGATGGATGGAAGAAAGGAAGGAAGATAAAGAGGGGATAGATGAATGGAAGGAAGGCAAAGAAGGAATGGAGGGAATGAAGGAAAAAGGGATGGATGGAAGGAAAGAAAAGATGGGATGGATGGAAGGAAGGAAGGCAGTGGAAGGAAGGCAAAGGGGAAAGTAAAGGGGATGGATGAAATAAAGGAAGGAAGGAAGATAAAGAGGGGATAGATGAAGGAAGGCAAAGAAGGGATGGAAGAAAGGAAAGAAGGAAGGAAAAAGGGATGGAAGGAAAAGATGGGATGGATGGAAGGAAGGCAGTCAGAAAGAAGGAAAAGGGGAAGGAAAAGGGGATGGATGGAAGAAAGGAAGGAAGGAAGGAAGATAAAGAGGGGATAGATGAATGGAAGGAAAGCAAAGAAGGGATGGAAGAAAGGAAGGCAAAGGGGAAGGAAGAGAGGGAAGCAGAAAGGAAAATGATGGAAGGAAGGCAAATGTTCCTCAAAGCCCCCAATTTGGAGCCGGCCTCTTTGGTGAGTTCCGAGCAAGCCCAGAGAAATCCTCCCAAAGTCCCCTTCTCCCCCCCTCCCCTTTTCCCTGGGCGATTCCCACGAGTCTTGCAGTGGGCTCCAGTCTGCCCCTATACCTGTTGAAGAGAGAACTCCTGCCAAGGTGGTTTTTTTCCCCCCAGGTGAAAAGACAACACAGGGCCCTTGGGAGCCCTCCGGCAGTTGTTGGCGGCAGTTGGAACTAGGAAGATCGGTGCGCGGTTGCTTAGCAAAGCGAGCCCAGATCCCTAAGCAGGATCTGGTTTTCACACATTAAGCCTTGGAGAAAAAGCAGCGCTTTATAGCCGATGTGCAGCCTCTCCGCTTCCTTGTCGGCTGCTTGGTTAATAAAACTGCTTTTTCAAATGCCGATGTCCTCATTTTTCAAGAAGTTGGAACGTTCCCTCTTTGTCCAATATCTAGGCCAGGGGTCGGCAACCTTAAGCACTCAAAAGAGCCACTTGTACCCATTTACTACACAAAAGAAAACACCGGGAGCCACAGAAGCCTTCCCGCGCCTATGTCCTGAGCAGTCACAAAACTAGCATAATGGTAAAAGGTAAAGGTCCCCTCGCACATCTGTGCCAGTTGTTCCCGACTCTAAGGGGCAACGCTCATCTCCGTTTCAAAGCCCAAGAGCCAGCGCTGTCCAAAGACGTCTCCGTGGTCATGTGGCCGGCACGACTCAACTCCCAAAGCCGCATGGAATGCTGTAACCTTCCCACCAAAGGTGGCCCCTATTTTTCGACTTGCCTTTTTGACGTGCTTTCAAACTGCTAGGTTGGCAGAAGCTGGGAGAAGTCACAGCCCTTGGAGGCATGTGTGCATGCATGGGGTTGTATGCGCATGTGTGGAGGGCAAGAGGAGCATGGGGCATACGGCGCACTCTGCAACACATTTTTTGCTCCCAAGAGGCTGCAGGGAAGCTTACTAGGCCTTAAATGGGGCCCTGGATGGGGGGATCGCATGCGCAGAGGATGTCATGCGCGCATTGCATTATGGGCACGGACACACACTTTCAGTACATGACAACAAAAAAGTTAGCCTTCACTGATCTAGGGCATACAAAGAGTGGCAAGATGCTGACATCTCTACAAGCTTCTATTGCCTTTTCGTACACATTTTGCTAAAGAAATCCCCCCCTCCTTCCAATAACATTAATGTGCTTTTCTTTCCTTTTTTTAGTTATCTCCCATGGTTTGAGGTCTTTTATAAACTGCTGAATATTCTGGCAGACTACACAGTGAAGGGCCAGGTAAATATCTGGGTCACACTTCCGTGTCA